TCTTTCCCTTGCAGATTGCCCTGCTCCCCAACAATGCTGTTGATCTGGGCAAGTACATCACTGGCGGCAAGGTGCTGGCCTCAAATGCCTACCTTCCTGGACCGCCTGGCCTACCAGGGGGCCAGGGCCCTCCTGGTGAGTGTGGAAAGGGTGCAGAGGGCGACGAGGCTGACCGGTGTCTTCTGGCGCCCACTAGTGCAAACGAAAGCATGAGTCCAGGGAAACTGCCACACACCTGGGCAAGAAGGCTTGGAAATTAGACCCTCGAGACTTGGGAAACCCTCCTAACTGGTAATTGTTTGGGAGAAAAATATCATCATAGGTTAAGGTTAGATTCCAGAAGATCATTTTAAATTATTGAGAAAAAAAAATGAAAACTGGCACCAGCAAGTGGCATAGTAGTTAGGGTACTGGACTCACAGTTCAAATCCCAGACCTGGCAGCATGAAACTCATGCCAGGAGTATGTGTGTGCATGCCCAAAATCCTGAAAGGAGAGTGGAGGAGAAGAGATTGTATCCCTCTTGGGGGCTGACTTCTCATTTTCTGTCTGCCTGTGTCTGTCTGTCTGTCTCTCTCTCTCTGTCTCTCTCTGGTGAGCACATGCATACTTTAGCAAAATTTTCTCTCAAAAAAAAAAAAAAAAGAAAGAAAACCACCTTTTAGTTTTATTCTGGAAATATTTTAACATATATAAACATAGGATAGTATAAAGAATTCCTATCAACTCATTGCCCAGTTCTAAAACTCGTGACAGTCTCGTTTCTACTATTCCCCAATCCTCTTTCCACTTTCTCTTATTCACGTTAGTACGTTTACATTTATATCTGTAGTTTTTCTCAACATATATTTACTTATCTATGTGTTTGTTGTGATTTTCAAGTCACCAGGTCCAGGACTCAAACTGTGGTCCCCCATATAGGAATCCAGTGCCCTAACCACCACACCACCTGCTGGCCCCAGCATCTATATTTAGTATTATGCCTTACTCTATCTTTTTCTTTGTAGGTTGACTTTATTGAGATACAAATTATATGATAAAATGTATTAATTTAAATTACAGTTTGACTAGTTTTGAAAAACGCTTTATATCATGTAACCACTACCCTGTATCTATCTCAAGATATGGAATATTTCCACCATGCCAAAAAGTTCCTCATGCCTCTTTGCATCACTGAACTTCCTCATCACCAGCTCCAGGCAACACTGACCTGCTTTCTATCGCTATAGTTTTACCTGATCTAGAACTGCATGTTCAGTGGAATTTCTTAGTATGTATTCTCTTTGTCTGGCTTCTTCCATTCAGCCTGCTATTTTGGAATTCACTCTTACTAATTTGAAGAAAAAAAAACAAATGTTCTATCACTTCATCAGGAATTATATGAGAACATTTTTACTTTCTTTTTAAAAAATAATTATGTTATTTAACTTTATTTATTTATTTAATTTTGACCAGAGAGAGACAGAGTGAGAGAGTAAGAGAGAAAGTGAGAAAGCAAGCCATCTGGTCCAGGACTCGAACAGCAATCAGCTATGTAGAAGTCCAATGTCCTTAATCACCACGCCACCCACTGGCCCATCTAATGAGAACATTTTAAAAATTGTGACAAGGTGTTTTATATTCAGAGTCTCCCCATAGATCAATAGATTTTTTCTTAATGTTAGTAAAAGAATTGACATTAGCTTCATCAAGCTGTGTTAAGCCACTGAACATCTTATCTCTGGTTATCAGAGCTTTATGGTACGCCAGGTTATAAATGACCCTCTGATGTTCTACTGGGAAGCCAAAACAAACAGAAAAAAACAGTATCTGCTTGCCCACCAGTGAGTGCACAGACGCTTCCTGCTGTGAAAGCTTAAAAAAGGGAGGAATCGCTGTAGCCTACAGAGACTAGGGTGATTCTGCATTTGATGTGGTCATGGAAGGTCGGTAGAATTTATCCAAGCAGAGAGGACGTGGGCAATCTTTAGGTTAAAGGTCAGCTAAGAAAAGGCTCACAGTTCTTCCCAAGAGATGTGTACATTTCCTTTCTACTTAGGTCTTCGTCTCTGTGTTCATCAAACATGGGTGACCTGAGTCTCGGTCTGTACCGAGAATAAGAACTAGAACTTCAGTTTACCTTCTTCTTCATTCCGTTGGTTGAAGGTATTCAGATGGAGATTTCTTTCTTTTTCTTTTTTTTTGGAGAGACAGAGACAGAGAGACAGAAAGCGAGAAATCACCCCCACCCCCACCCCAAGGGGATGGCCATACCGCAATCCCTTCTCCTCCATTCTCCTCTCAGGATCTTGGGCATGCACCCACACACATCCGGCATGAGTTTAAGCCACTGGGTCTGGAAATCAAACCACGATCAACTACATGGAATTCCAGCGACATAGCCATTACGCCAACTGCTGGTCCCCATATGGAGATTTCTTCAGTAGGCACCTCATATAGGCAGCCTGTTGCTGCTTTTGAGTAGACTGGGGTCTCTCCTTAAAAACCGATTTGTAGCACAGAGTTCTCCACCCTTTTCTGAGAGAGTCCTTTGTTTTGCTTCCCTGAAGGAAGTTCATCTCCAGGCCAGTCTACATATCACTACAATGAGGACAACTTAAGGAGCAAGGGGAGTTATTGACTGTCTCCTTCTTAATAAATGACTTGCTGGTTTTCCTCCCCAATTCTGTTATCTGGTTTCTAACATGGATTGAGCTGTCCAAGGTCCTTAAAGGAGCAGTGTGATGAGGATGAATGAGCTTTTGCAAAGGACTAGGCCCCTGCACAAAGATTGCAATCCTGTTTCCTCTCCAGTCTTTATTCCTAGTGTTCTTGATGCCCTCCACTGACACTGAGATGTACTAAGGTAGCCAGAAAGTGAATATGTTTTCTCTCACCCTTAAATAAAAGTCCAGTTCCAAGGCCTATGATACTCAAGTGCCAATACAGGAAACTGCACTGGGTTGGAATCCTTCAGCTTTGGTGGGGAGGGGATGGCTGTGACTCTCTGGCCTCCCACTGTTACCTATTAAGTGCTGTCATTTGCACATCAATATTTCACAACTCTTTTTTCTTTATTCATGATAAAGCATGAGAGAGAGAGAAGCTTCCTCCACAGGGTCTGTCTGGTCATGCCACAATGTCTTTTCTCTAGACCTCCATCCCTTCATATTCTTGATACTCATGTATGTGCCTAGCATGGGCAGACTAGATCAGAGATTCAAACAGTAGTCAACATGTAGGATCTGGCTTCTGTTGAGCAGCATATCACCACTACACCACAGGATTAGGTCAAAGTCCCACATTTTAAAGGAAATAGACATATTGAAGTTCACCGATTATATTAAATGTAAGCAAGATATCTCTGGCCTGTCTCTATACTATTGGAGGTATAATAACTAGTCATAGTAGGTTTCTGAGCTCTTCTTAGATAAACTTTCAGGATGTACATGGACCTAGTATTTATAATAGGAGTGTGAGACATGTTTAGATAGAATATTGATTACCCAAAACTGGTTTAATACTGTGAACTACAAAAGACTTCCCTAAATAAGGAAGTCTGAAATATGTTTCTTTGTTGGTTTGTTTTTAAGAGTCTGAAAGTCAC